ATGATATTCCTGGATGGTCTCATCATCACGCATATTTAGGTTCTCAAATTTAGTAGTGAGAAGCTAGAGTCTTGACATTTTTACTTTGGATGTACCTTCATGAGTTGTTATGAGAACTTCCCAAGAATCCTTGGCTACAACACATGTATTAATCAACCTAAACACATTTTTGTCCACTCCATTGAATAAAGCATTCAAGGCTTTGGAATTTTTGAGAGCTAATTTATCATCCTCATCATTCCAATCTTCTGTTGGCTTCAAAGACGCATTCCCATCTTTGTCCTTATTAACAGGATGATCCCATCCTTTCGAAACAGCCTTCCATGCTTTGTTGTCCATGGATTTCAGAAAATCTACCATTCTAACCTTCCATCAATCATAATTTGAACCATCTAATAGAGATGGTCTATTGTTGTATCCTCCTCCCTTGTTCATAGTACCAGAAATATTCTCCCTGGAGCTTATCTAATAAATAGAACAAGGTGCCTACTCTAATGCCACTTGAAATTATGGCACTTGTAATACAAATGTTAAGACTGATGTCTCAACACAAAACACAATGTCAGGACAGATGTTATAACATCATCTGCTGACAGAAACTTGCTAAAACAGGAGATTATGCAGAGAACACATTGTAGAAAATTAAACAACACGGTCAATTGTTAATCCAGTTCGATGCAATGTCACCTACTCTGGGGGCTACCAAGCCAGGAAGGAAATTCACTATGATAGTATTAGTTCAAAGCCTAAACAACCCTACTTTACAACTTCTCGCCTAATCACTACCTTGTGCAACTTCTACCTAGACACCTCTAGATATGAGACCCCCATCTCACTTCCAACCACCTCAGTGATACCTACAGTCACAAACTTATGACTAGACCAAAAGAACCAAATAGAAGATTACACTTCCGATAAACAATACTTAGTTTTGCTTAAAATCTTAACTAAGAACAATACTTAACTCTTTGCTTAAAAGCTCATGAGTGAGAATAATTAGTCTACCTCAATATATCAAAAGGTACATGAGTGACATACAAAGAAAACACAAAGACCTTAAAAGACTCCTAAAACCCTAAACCCTTATGTTGCACCCACAATTTCTTCAATGTGAATGCTTGTTATTTTAGGTTTAGAAAGTCCTTATTTATAGACTCTTGCAGAATGAGCTTGGACTCTTCAAATCAAATTCAATCTTCTATTTTAAATTAGCTGCAAGATCTTCATACAAAAATAGGAACAAATCTTCAAAGTTTCCTAAAAAGTCTCTAAGATCCCTTTTATGAAATCAAATTAAATCTGCATTTGTTCCTAATAAAATCTCATTGACCAGCATAAAATAATGAGATATATCCAAAAGAATCTCACAAAATCAAATCAAATTTGTCAAGAGATATAACAGCAGCGTCTGCTATACCATATGCGAAGATGTCAACATATTTGGCTCAACATCTGCCTTATATACATGACAGCAGAACCTGTCATGCGTGTTGGTCTAAATGTTGTAACATCTTTCTCGACATTAGTCCAGAACCATGTTTTAGCAAAATTTATGGCAAACCTAAAAACATGGATTTAATAATATGGCCTAATCTTAAGTGCCACAAATTACAAGAAGTATATGCAACAGAAGAATTGGTTGAATGATGATCTGTAGAATCAAGAACATAGAGTCTCATTTGCAAGTTAGTTATACCAATCATTTCCTTGGAATGATTTTGCATGATGTGGCATGTATTAGCATTAAATTGTATAAACAATTATTGATATCTACTAATTTGGAAATAAAGATAAGGTTGACATGAAAACTAGGGATGTAAAGCACATTATGAAAGGTTAATGAAGAGGATTGGCAACAGTATCAGAAATAGAGGCCACAACTTATGAACCATCAGGTAGGCTAACAGGGATGGGAACTATATTTTTATATTCAATGAAGGATGAAAAATTGAAAGAAAAATGATAAGTAGCACCAGTATCTAATACCCAAAGGTTATGGTTCTTACCATTCACATTGGAGGAGTGGGAGTGCATGACAAAGGGTGAAGTGGAAACAGAATTGACTGTGGGATTGGGCTTGGACTATTGAAGCAATGTTAAGATATTGTTGTACTACTCTTGAGTAAATCCAAATGAAGTAGGAGTTGAACCACGAGGAGAAGCTTTTGATGTATTAATAATGGTTGCAGCTGATGGTGAATTAATTGCAGTCCCTTGAACCTTGCATTTGCCTTTATAACCTGGTGGGAATCCATGCTTGAGGAAGCATGTCCAACTGTGTGATTTTTCCTATTGTAGTGTGTACAAACTCTTTTGTGGCCTCTTGGCCTGTTGTATCCCAGATCATTAGCTTAGAAGTTGTTATTACCATGCTTTACATTGTAATTCCCTTCATGAGTTTGAACCTATAAAGTAGCCACTTCTTCATTGGTGCTTGTAGAGGGAATCACAACAGAAATAGAATTATTCAACTCTCTTTCTTGTTGAGTAACAAGTGAAAAGGCTTTGTCAATATCAAGTAAGGGATTCATCATCATAATCTGCGAATTTGAATGTGCGAATTTTTTAGTTAATCCCTTGAGAAATTGTATGACATAATCTTGCTCTCTATACTTCTTAACTAATGCAATGGCACCACAAGAACAAGGAATTGAGCAAGAACAAAAAGGAATTGGTCAATAGTTTTCTAACTCATCCCAGATGACCTTCAACTGAGTGAAATGGTTAGAAACATCGAGAGTACCTAGACAGAATTTGTAGAGATATTCTTGAATGTCGGAAATGTGGAAGATATCGTTGTACGAAAATGGAATCTGCAAATTCTTCCAGACACCAACTGCATTATCAATCCACAGTACCTATTTGGCAATAGACTTTGAAATTGAACGTTGAATCCATGCAAGAACCATGGTATTACAGCGAATCCATGGCGCATACAAAGGATTTGAAATTGGAGGCTTGATTAGGGTTCCTGTTGCGGTGGGAAATTTTTCAAGAATAAGCTATTGATTAACTTATCTCAACAAATAAGCAAGAGTTGACACCAAACTTTATTGTTTCCAAAAGGAAATGGAAAAGATTGAATAAAGCCCAAAATAAAAGAGAGATCAAGGCACTGAGGTTGGTTATGCAAAGGAAAGGTATTAACACTTTAAACATCTACGGTACTCTGCATGAATCTCTTTGAAAATATGTGTATTTGGCTAAAATGTTGTTTGCAAATATGACTGGAGAGATGGGAAAAGAAATTTTTATTATTATTTTGATTCGGCAAGACTTCGAGATCCCTGTGCCTATGTACCGCCAATGTGCAATGATGAAATCAGAACCACATAGTTCTTCTAAAAAAGAAGGAAAAAAATTGTGTGTTGATTGATTTCAAATGAAGAGACAAGTCGTCATTTTTAGGAGAAGACTCAACTAATCACCCTCAAAGTATGAGAAATATGGACAATGCATCGACATGAAGGAGGATTTGGACACACCTCTAGTACTCAAGTGGAAAAGTCGACATCTTTTCGATCATAACTTGTATGGATAGGAGAATGACATCTCGACTATAAATGACTCATGTCTAATCTTGAAAAAAATTTAAAGGAAAAAGGTGCACAAGGACACAAAAAGGTTTGAAGTGAGGTTAAATTTTTTTAGTTTTTTTGAAAAGGTTAGAATGGTTAGATGGATTGAAATTTGATTACTAAAAGAGATTTTGAAAAAGTCACTTGACAAAGCCAAGGTTTATTATAAAAGTGGTTAAAGTTTGAAAAAGGAATCTTTTGAAAAAGATGAGAAGGTTTTGAAAATTGAAGAAGAATGTGAGGAGATGAGCATAAAGTAAAAGGATAAGGTAAGAAAGGTCTTACCAAATAAGAGAAATAATCTTGACACAAGTCAAATAATGAATCTCATTCCTTTTGATTAAAATCACAAGCAAAGAATAAAACAAGAGTATACCAAGCATCAAGTGAAAATAAATCACAAGCTGAAAGTGCATCAGATAAGCCCGAGGTATCAGATAAGAACTCCTGCATCAGATAAAAAGTCGCACAAACAGACAAAACTAGGATAACAGATAAATAATCTAAGTGTATCATATGAAATAAGAACTCAAGTCCAAATGGGTTAGAACTATGTATCAAAGCTAGATGAACAAATGGAACATGAAGTAAATGCTTAATCAATTAATCAAGAATTGATTAACTTAATTAATTAGGTTAAAAAAGTTAATTAGAAAAACTAATTAATTTTTAATAACAAAATCAACTAACTAAATCAATATTTGATTAATTAATTAAAAACAACAAAGTGTGCAAAGAGGAAGTGAGCACTTGAGCCATCTTGAAAGCTTACACAAACCATGGACATGTTAGTAACACAAAAGAAAGTGTAATAAACCAAATGGAAACTTGCCTTTAATTCATGCATAAGTAACTCAATTTATCAATAAAAATCACCATACATGTTTGGATGAAATAACAAAGTAAAAATCATGGATCACATATGCAATTAACATTCAATTGTGTATTAACAAAGTAAGTGGTAAAAGACAAGTTGCAACCAAAATCTCATGAAAACTTTTAAAGTCTTAAAACAACTTCAACCACATCAGAAATATCAAGCATCCAAAACAAAGTGATTCTCATGGATGTAGAAAGAGATTAAAGTTTATGAATTGAAGATGCTAAACCGGTTTTCATTACTTTATACACTCATCAAAACCAAGATCAATTAGAAATAAACTCTTGTTACTACTCAAATCATATTTAAAACATAATCACAAAGCTTGAACAAGAGTTTTTATCACATTATTACCATTTGGGAAGCAACAACACAGCACATATTGGCTCAAAAATCTCTTTCCAAACATGTTCAAAACAAACGGGAATAAAATCTGATACCACAACCAACTTTTTTATTTGAATTTAACATAAATGAAACGATAAATACTACCAAAACTTCATTCAAATTAACTAAAATAACATGGTATCTACATCAAAATTTCATTCACAATTAACACAGATGTTGTCAAAGCCATCCTTCAGATTTAACCTGAATAACACGAATAATAACGTCAAAATGTATCGCTCAAAGTTAACACAGATGCCATCAAAACTTTAACCAGATTTAACACGAATAAAACAATAATGGTGTCAACACTTCATCATTCAGTTTAACACAAATAAATGTGGTATTGACATCAAAAATTCATCATAATTTATCATTAGAACCTCACAGATGCAACACGAGAAAACACCATAATAATTTCATTATCCAGATTTAACATAGTATTCCAGAAATTAAGTAAAATGAAAAATAGTGATAGTGAAATTGAAGCGAAATTGCTTACCAAATCACAAAATGGAGGAAGAAGTGGATTTGTTGTTGACCGAAGATGAGGGAGCCATTGTGTTCTGAACGGAGGTTGATGCTAGCGGAACAAAGGTGCTTCGGCTGGAGGATGGTCTGTGCTGGAGCGAGTATGACGCGCGGGAAGGGAGTATTGAACAGAAGAAGTGTCAGTCTGGAACTTCGAAAATAAAGACGGAAGAATGGTGGTTGTTGTAGCTACAAACAGAATGGAATGACGGAAGGTGGTGTTGGGCTGAGATGGAGTATCGTGTGTTTGAGCTTCTTCGGAGAAGGAAGGCGATTAGTGTCGTTTTTGTTTTTGATTTGATACCCTCCTCTAATACTCTTATCTTCACACTTAACTATCAACACAATAGGGTTTACTATTTTTTAAAATGGCAAAAGTATTCTTTTTAATAAAATCAACCTAAAAAAGTAAAAATAAGCTCATGCTAAAATATTTTTGTTTCAATTTTTTTTAATAAAAGAGGTGACCTAAAATAATCAAAAACGATAAAAAATGACACTTAATTAATCGGAAAAAAGAAATAAATAAATTAAAATAAATTACAGATCACAGAGTTTAATAAAAAAGACTACAAATGATCAAAATCAAAATCAAAATGAAAATAAGAATATTCGAATGGACAGACACTGACGATTAAGAAAGTGACTGCAAACTGTACCGAAAAAATAAAGAGAGCACACCGACATGATCTACGCACAATGTAGATTCATAAAACAGTCAGCTAAAGATGAAAACTTGAAATATTTTACCTGATAATTTTCGGCACAATGTCAAATCGCTTTTAACAAGCTTCTTGTAGAACCGAAATATCAATATTATTGAAATATGATCCACTTGGCGCAATGCATGCAGCGGTGTAAAGATATAAAAATACATGAAGTGAGATATCAGGTATTTTTTATATTAAAATGATTCAAATGTTGACTTAAGTTGACTTTTGGTTAACCTAAATGCACGAATAAATGATTATGGCACAAATGCGATGAATGAATGACCCTAGGGTAAAATTGGGATATGACAGTTCCATAGATGAGTTTCTCCTTGTTCTTGGATATCAACACTCAATGATAAGAACTATCATACCTAGGCTCGATCAATGCACATTGTGAATGCGATTGGAAGAGAAAGGAAAAAAATAGCAGTGAGAACAATCGCGAATAACAGAGATAGAAGAAAGCAAAACAAAGGCTACCAGAGTTTATTAAGTTCTGATACCATGTTGATAATAGAAGATCTCATGGAACATAGATAAAAAGTAGAGAAAAGAGTGAAATAGAAAACATCGAAGAAGAAGAAGATATGGAAAAATCGGTTACATTCATTGAAGTCTAAAGTGCAGCGAGACGAATATATATATATATATACAATATTCAAGAATCCAATCTAATATTGCCAACTAAGCTAGCTAAAATACATTATTTATATACAAAGAATAGAAATAAGTAAAACGATAATACACAAATTCACAAATATAATCTAATACAATATGAACCATCGAGTTATTGAAGGGAATGCAAGAAGCGTTTGTGCAGTTCCTGCGACCAGTAACGATGTTAATTCCTCTGTCCTTTATCCTCTATTTTTCCATTGTTTTCAACAACTGGTTCAGTAGAACTTGTAACACGTACTTATTTTGGTGAAGTTATTAGTGTTTTACAAGCTTCTAGTGCATTACCCTTTTCAACAATAATTTCCTCTTTGTGGAATGGATGAAGTGCGCCTTCATTTCTTTTCACTTCTACAACACTTATTTTCCCAGGCACTGTTTGAAAGAACATTTCACATTCTTAAAAAAAACTCCTAATGAGAAAGCCAAGAAATTCAAAAGCAATAATTTCATTCAAATTCAGTATCTCAAGCAAATTGTTTTGTTGATGAACTGAATTAAGCTAGAGAAGTTTTAATGAAAATTTTTAGTTAAAAACTCTGAAAACCAACTCTAAAAACCAAACAATTTAATTCAATTTTGGTTTTATAATTTTATAACCTCTTTAAAAAGTAAGGGGTTGAGACTCTATAATTGAACTGATCTTAGCCAATCAGATTTGTGTGATGAATGTTGCTTGTCATCATCATCTTCTTCATTGCAATAAGACGATGATGCCTTTTTCATGATAATCTTTGGATGAATCCTTGGACGATGATTCATATGCGTATCCAATTGATTCTTCATATCTCATCATAAACTCCTTGTATGATGGAACAAACTCTTTACATGATTCTTCAGAAGATACTTCATATATTGTTACAGTATTTTTAAAAGAAGTTGTTAGTGATGATATTTTTGATATTGGTCATTCAGATGCATATGAATTTTCTTCTATGATCTTTTCTTCATTTTTAAGCAACTAAATCAATTCTTTATGCTTTTTGATGATCTCTTTCTTACTCGATCTATCCTACAAATCACTAACAACTTTTGTATATTTGGAGTCAAGTGATGGATCATGTTTTTGATACCGGTTATGGAATCTAAGACGTATTGGTATATTAGAAGCATAATTTTTTAGACTAATTCTAATGTTTAATAAGAATCCTTTACTTTCACTTTGTATCTCATCTTCTTGGATAAATGTGTTTTTCATTTCCAAATCAGTTAGTACTTCATAGATTTCTTTAAGGGAGTTCCACACTTATTTAGTCATGCTACAATTAAAAACATAATAGAACTCTTTAGTGATTAACTCACTTGTCATCAAGTACTTAGCTTGAAATTCTTGTTGCATTTTTTTCTTTTCTTCTCTGGTTACAAATTTCTTGGTTTGTCTAGTACTTCATTATCAACAAAATTTATTGTCACTTGTCTAGTACTTATAGACTTTATTTACCTAGCAAAACTTCCCAACAAGACTTATACAACACTACCTACTATCCCACTTGAAATCCTTTCTTTGCCATTTTCTTTCCATTTGGACTTTTCGGTTTTTCTTTCACCGTGTTTATCTAGTAACACTGAGGATTTTTCTTGTGATGCTTTATTGATTGAAACACGTTGAAGATAACTTTTTCCTCGTTAAATAATAGTATTAATTATCCCAATGCTACATCAATTATAGATTTACATGTTGCTAAGAATTGTCTTCCTAACAGTAATGGTGTTTTGGAATCTTCAGACATGTCAAGAATTACGAAACCAGTTGGAAACAATATCCCATCAACCCTAACAAGGATATATTTAAGAACTCCTTATGGATATGTAATTGAGCAATCAACTAGTGTTAAGGTTATCTGTGTTGGCTTTAGTTTGTCACACTTTGGCTTTCTCATCATGGATAACCATATTAGATTGGTGCTAGCTCCCGAATCACATAAGGCATGACCAATAGTTAGTGAACCAATGGAACAAGGAATAGTAAACCTACCCGGATCAGTTAGTTTTGGTGGAAGCTTCCTCTGGATGATTGCAATGAACTATTCTGCTACAATGATGTTTTCATCATGCTTTAACATCCACTTTCTCGATATGAGCTCTTTCATGAACTTAGCATAAACAGGCACTTGTTCAAGGATTTCACAAAATGGAATACTGACATGTATCTTGTTCAACATCTCCATAAACTTTTTATACTTACTCATTTACTTCTCCTTTTTAGGTGTCTTCTTCAGAACCAGATAAGGTGGTTTGATGTAATCGAGTAGCTCAGGGTTGAACTAAGTCAAGATCTATTTCTTCATTCTTTTGAAGGGTGAATATTTATCAATGAATTGTTCAAGGATGAAACCTTTAAATTAATCATCAGTATTATTCTAACTCTTTTCTCCCTCATAACCTTTCTCAACTTATTTCTCAACTACCATTTCTTTTCCACTTTCTTGCTCAACTTTACTCGATTCTTTCTTTTTCACGCTAATTGTTGGTTCAGACGACACCACTCTATTCCGTAACTCGGTGGCTTTGCACGTTTCATTTTTTGAGTTATCTATGGTATTACATATAAATCCCCTACTTGAACTAGCTTGAGTGACCATTTGTCGAGAGAATTGACCAATTTGCATCTCTAAGTTCTTTATGGATGCTTCGGTGTTCTTGTTTGTTAGGATCTGATTATGTCCCATCTCTTGCAGATTCTTAACCATGTTATCCTAAGACTTGCTTACTTAATTGAAGCTTGCTAAAGTAGACTTCATGAAATTTGACAATGTTTCTTCAAGAGGTGATGGTTTGCACTAAGGTTCTTGTTAAACACCTTGATTAGCATTCAAAGTATGATTATTTATCCATTTTAAATTTGGATGATATTTTTGACCCAGATTGTAAGTGTTAGAATAAGGATTATTCTTCTAAAAATTAGCATACTAGACTTCTGCGCTCTCAACCTCTATTGTACAGTTACCATTTGCATGTGCCTCCCTGTTGGTGTAAGCCCTAGAGACCAGTAATTTTGGTACTTGTATTGAATTATTTATTAATAATAAAAGGCATTTATTTATTATGTTTGTCTTTCCAAATAATAAAATCTCTAGAGTAGCTAGTCTGTTTAATGAAATATTAAGTGTGACTTAATCATGAGATTCCATTAAACATAAGGATATTATTTTTAAAGTATCTGTAGTTGAGCTTTATTATGAAGTGGGATAACATTAAAGCATTGAGACTAGTCTATATATAGACAGATGATGATATCTCATGGATCATGGGTAATGAGTTATCAAGTCTTAACATAGGTATGAATATTAGGAGTAATATTTATACTAGATTAACCTGTTATGAGAATACTACATAGAATGTTATGCAAAGTGTCATAAGTTATTCTCATGGTGATAATGTTTTATATCACCCTTCGACCTGAAACCACTATAGACCCTAGATGTAAAGTTTAATGTTTTATTGTTGATCAAACATTGTTCGTAATTAGATGACCATAAAGACAACTGATGGGTATTTCACAAAGCATGCTGAGAGACATGAGTGACCTAGATAGAATTTCCCATCTAGTGTAATACGATAAATGTCTAAGGGTCCAATATTGAACTGGACAATGATGATACTGTATATGCCTTGTGTTCAATATAGACATAAGGGCAAAGGAGTAATTGTACACATAAGTATTATCATGAATACAAAGAATGAATACATATCCCCACCTTGCATTTGTGTATTTCAATAGTGAGAATCTGCCACTTCAGTTTAGGGTCTGCGAGAACATAACTCTCTCCGACCTGATACCTAAACTGAATACTCTCATGCGATATTCAGAAAATTGACGAGTTGTCAAGCTCGAGTATCGTTACCCTCATTTGACAACGATAAGAAGATACAATTCACTAACTTCAAACTGAAGACGGGTGCAGATTTAGAGGTTATGTGGAGTAATTTTCACCGATATGCAATAAAAGGTCTGATTAAAGTGGATGCGAAGATTGTAAGATCTGTCGAAGATATGATTAAAATGTTGCAATCTCTTGAACTATCCGTTTATAACGATATGTAATGTTAATTTTTCGATTATCAATTATTTATATAATGTTGAGTTTTTTAATTTATGTTAAGTGTTTATGATTATCAATAATAAATTTTTGATTATTTAATGATATCCATACTATCTCTGTTTTTTGTTTACCATTTGAAGTATCAGAGCTATTTTTGAATATACGTCTCTGAAGCATATCAGACATAATTTTGAAGATGCATATCCGAACTAAAATTAAGTATAATAGAGAATGGGTGCGTCCGGAGATGCATCGTCGAACTCTAGGAACATTTTTTAATTTTCACCCAGAGTTTGTGAGAAAGCATAGGGGTGGGAAAAGAAATTGCCTTTATCAAACATGGAGGGTTGGCCATATGTACTAGTCATTTTGAGCTCTAATTCTAATTTTGGTGGTGAGTATATGCCTCATGAATTTTATAAGAGATTTTAACTTGACACCCTTCAAGTTTAACCTGACACTCCCCTATTTTTCGTTATTCTGAAAATATCTTTGGTGAGAAGAGAAGAATTTTTTACGACAAAATTTTCGGCACTGATTGCCAAATTTCTGGTACAGATAAGATTTTCAGTAATATATACTAAATTTCTGATATTTTACAATTTCTGATTGTTCTTTTGAAATTTCTGATATTTCAGAAATTTCGAATAATTGTGAAAAAATATTTTTAGACTATTTTGATTTTTTTCATATACTTTGAAAGATGCCAAATATAAAAATATGGTCATGTTAAATGACCGTTTTATAAAAAGGCAACTTGTTTCAATGATTTTGTCTCACTAACAAAATGGGATGGAAAACCACCATTTAATTGATGAAGCAACTTTTGCGGCATCCTAATTTTTCACAAAGCTTCTTCACAATTGTCTTCTTAAATGTACCGATTATCTATCTTGATTCTCTTTTCTTTCACTAGTTTTAAACTCAACCTAGTTATAGTGGTTTACGTACTATAATCATGGAGCATGTTCAATGTGTACTTCTTCTGATGCACAATGGATACAAATATTTTTTAGGACAACAACTACCCTTATAAATTGCAACGATTATTTGGAATAACAAAATAAAAACTTATCACGTCGGGAATCTTGACATTTCTAATCCTCAAATCTAACAAATCGCACACCGTACAAAAAATGCAATCTTTGTAGCAATTTCAAATTTTGTTTACGCCGATGGTTTGTTTGCAGATATTATAAACAGACATAATAATCCACATATTATGTCTGAACTAGCTTGCATTTTCATCTGAAAGTAAAACAAGCATGTTACACAGTTAAAGCCAAACAAGTACCAAAATGAAGCCAAACATTCTGAAAGTAAAGTGTGCAAATATAGCCAAACACTCAGAAAGTAAAGTGTGTAAATATAGATAGGCCCATAAAACAAAATCAACACAAACCAATTGCCAAAATACTAAATTTCATTTCAAAGCATGTCCCTTTTACAAAAAGAATCAACTGTGCTCGAGAGGAATATAGTTCCAAACTCAAACTTTTGTTTCACACTTGATATCTCCTAAATAACAAACAGTAATGATATCTCCTAAATTTAAAACCACCCATAAGTTTCGGATCATGATAGTTAATATAATCACAACCATATAGTAGATCATAGTGATGACCATGTACATAATATTTGTTTAATGATTGATTAGATACAATCATCCAAATAAAACAGCACCCTAAACTATATAATCCATTCAAGACTCTGCTGACAAGTTATTGGCTGGAGCCACAAGAGCAACAGAACAACGATCTGTGCCACAGAATTTCTTGTAAATCGCCCTCAGCTTACTATCTGGTGCAGCAGAATGAAAACTGACCATCAGTTTGGCACAATCCCTGACATCATAAACAAACCAAAAGGTTACTTTCATAAATAACAAACATCCAGTTGAATATCCAAAACAAATAGAACTTTGCTGATATAACTACCTTAGTTGTTCCTCAGAGTAGCCTGTGTAGTGCTTGAGAGTGTCAGTCCAAAAAGGACTCCTCTTAAGTGTAGATCTTGCGGCATACACAGCAGAAGCAGCAATCATAGAAGGAGAATACAATGATACAGTAACATAATGCATCATAGAAAGTTCAGCTAGGAAATTCACCATATTCTCCATCTACAACATTGAGAAAATCAAATTCCACATCAAAGAAAGCCAAATCACATTACTCTTAAATAAATTTCACAATCAAAACTATAAATAATTGTTTATATATATACCTGTTCATCAGAGGGAGTAGAGGCCTTAATGTACCGAACCAGAAAAACATAAGGAGTTGGAACGGTTAAATACCATTCCAATTTTCCCAAGATTGTTTTCTCCATAACCAGAACCTGTTCTCTAATATAGGCATTGTCTGATATGCATACAAAGTCAGTAACCTGTATACACACAAGAGCAGTGTTAATATTTCATCATAGACACATTAAATGACATGTATAAAGAAAAAGTAATTTTACCTCTGGTGCCCATATCTCTTCATATTTAGATGCAATAAGCATTGAGCTTATGCCAACAAGCTGAAGTTCCTTTCTAGGAACAGCCTTCATGGACAAGAATCGGTCAACAATATTAAGAGTTAAGTAAAAAGTCTCTGGCATGAGTTCGAATTTTCGATGAACTTCAATCAACCAATCAACAAGAATCGCTCTCATCTTGGCATTTATATCGGGCTGTGAAACCATGTAATCTTGTACAGGACAATCATCCTGTGTCATTCATCAAATTCACAACATTAGATAATATGTAATAAAGAAACTAGATATATATATTGAAAGAGAAAAAACACAAAACAAAATATAGAACATTACTTCACTGAGTTTGTAAAACTTGTAAATATCATCAAGGTACTCAGTTGCAGCCAATTCATTATCCTTGTCAGTTGCATCAATGTTCATTATTACCATATCATTTGACACACTTCTACCAGCAGCCTGAGAGTTTCACAAACAAAAAAACATACTTTCAATATCATTCTACATTCAAAATTAACACCTAAAATACAACACCAGATTTTCACATGAGAAATAGAAAACAAGGGGTTAAAGCCAATAATTAACCTTGCTTCTAGCTGAAAGCACTGAACTGAATGTCCTGACATTTATCTTTGATCTTTCTCTCAACTTTCTTCCTTTCAGACGCTGTTTCTCTTTCACTTCAGATTCATCATCAGAGCTGATAACAATAACTTCATGTTCAGCAGGTTTCTGAGCTTGTTCCATCCTTTTCGCAGCCACTAAGTCCCCATTGACAACATCAGGTGGTAGTATCTACATCAACATCAAATTCCACCAAAACACATTCACAAACACAGCCTTTCAAGATTAAAACTTTCAAAATTCCTTAGAAAATTTAACAAAATTAAACCAAATAATAACAAGGATAAAAATGCACATTATTCTTCTCTGCTGCTTGAGCAATAGCAGCTAATTGATTTCTGCAACAAAACCAACAAACAAAGTTAGACAAATTGTTAAAAAAATAAATAAACTTTAATAAATAAATAAAATTTAATAAAAAAATATATAAAACCCAAACCTTGTGATGCGCTTAGGCTCATTAGCATGAGGATCTGCTGGATTAATCACAAGATTTCCAATATCTCCAAGAACCTTTCTGTTTCTTCCTTCAACTCCTAAATTCTTTTTCTTATTATCACCTAATTCCATTCACAACCATAAAAAAATCAGAACTTTCAACAAAAAAAACCACACTGAACAAAAACCAAATCAACATTTTACTGAATTACATAAACCCTAAGTCCTACCCTAAATTACCAAATCACCCTCGGTTTTCAATTTCAGTAAAGATGATGAGAAAGAAGAAACAAACAAACCTCTGGGTTGTTCAATCGGAGCAATAGCTTTAGACGCCATAGTTAGATTATTATCCGTTTCTTCTAGAAAATTCGATCCGAAAACACCGCCGAAACTCGAGAAGATCGAAGAAAGAAACACGCGAATCCGATTGTTCCTCTTCCCTTCTTCTTCTCCTCCTCCGATGCTTTCTTCGTCGAAAGTCGCCACCTCAACTGCGCATTCAACCTCTGTAACCGATCACACGTGCACCAGTTTCGTTCTCGCTCTTTGTTCTTGGTTACGACGATTTGGATTTTTCAGTGGTTTTGTTTTTCTCTGTGTGCGTGATAGCAATGTTTGAAAATTGGTAAATGATTTATAAACGAAACTTCTAACGGTCGATTTTTAGGTGCGTTTTAACCGTTGGATTTCTGTTTTGTTATCCAACGCTTATACTGCAAGTTTTCAACGCTTTTTCCTTTCTTGCACTTTTTTCTAGCCGTTGCCTCACTGATGATTCTTCTAACCGCTCCTGTTTTGATCTTTTTATTTTATTCACCTTTATCTTTTTATAATTTATTTTCTATTATATTTTTACTATATATTATTTGATTATAAAAGAATAGGAGTATTTATTAATGTATTTTACTATTATTATTAATATTAAGGTCTCATTAAAAAATAATACTTATTATGGCCGTTGTGTTGATTTTGAAATCAACCAATTATATATTATTAATAATATTATTTTTGGAAACTATTATTATTATTATTATTATTATTATTATTATTATTATTATTATTATTATTATTATTATTATTATTATTATTATTATTATTATTATTATTATTATTATTATTATTATTATTATTATTATTATTATTATTATTATTATTATTATTATTATTATTATTATTATTATTATTATTATTATTATTATTATTATTATTATTATTATTATTATTATTATTATTATTATTATTATTATTATTATTATTATTATTATTATTATTATTATTATTATTATTATTATTATTATTATTATTATTATTATTATTATTATTATTATTATTATTATTATTATTATTATTATTATTATTATTATTATTATTATTATTATTATTATTATTATTATTATTGTTATTATTATTATTATTATTATTATTATTATTATTATTATTATTATTATTATTATTATTATTATTATTATTATTATTATTATTATTATTATTATTATTATTATTATTATTATTATTATTATTATTATTATTATTATTATTATTATTATTATTATTATTATTATTATTATTATTATTATTATTATTATTATTATTATTATTATTATTATTATTATTATTATTATTATTATTATTATTATTATTATTATTATTATTATTATTATTATTATTATTATTATTATTATTATTATTATTATTATTATTATTATTATTATTATTATTATTATTATTATTATTATTATTATTATTATTATTATTATTATTATTATTATTATTATTATTATTATTATTATTATTATTATTATTATTATTATTATTATTATTATTATTATTATTATTATTATTATTATTATTATTATTATTATTATTATTATTATTATTATTATTATTATTATTATTAATGTTATTATTATTATTATTATTATTATTATTATTATTATTATTATTATTAATGTTATTATTATTATTATTATTATTATTATTATTATTATTAATGTTATTGTTTTTATTTAAAAACTCAAGTATTTTAATTAATATTGTAAAAAAAAAAATTAAAATTTATTCAAAAAAAAAATAGGTTTTTATTTATTTCTTTAAATATATTCTTTTTTTTTAAATGATTATTTGAAGTATTCTTATATAAAATTATTTGGTTTAAATTTGGTAAAAAATAACAAATTAGGTACTGCAGTTTTTATTCCATTATATTATTATTATTATTATTTTATTATTGTTAATTTTCTTTAAAAAAAATCAAGTATTTGAATTATTCTTGTAAAAAAACTATTTTCATTTAAATTTGGTCAACAAAATAACAAAATAGGTTATCATTTATGATCTTACCAGATCAGAGTTAGACCGTCACAGTTGGCTTCAGACTGAAGTTGAGTGAGATGGGGGTACCTGCTAGACACTCTGATGGTAAAGTAAGAAGCGGAATGAGTAAGCAAGTATGAGTTTTTAAATGTATGAATGAATACTTGGCCCTCTCGAAAGAGAGGGTATTTATAGCCTTCAGCGTTGGGCCAAGGTCTATTTATTGAGCTGATCAAACAGGCCTAATAAAGAGACTGTCAGGTTCTACGTGTGTAGTGGGGACCCGCACGTGGCCCCCTATCTGGATGACGTCCTCCGCAAGACAGGGAAGATGAAGACGCGATCTTTCCAGGACCATGAAGACTCCGCGAAATCCTGAGAGGTTAGAAGTCAGTCCTACGAGGAAGGTGCCCGGGAGAAGCGCGTGCTCGTCGGGGATGGTCCCTGCGAGCACAGACGGGAAGCAGCCATGGTCGACAAGACATCTGTGGTCGGGATGTGGTCGGTGGAACTACTGCTCAGCGCAGCAGGTTGGCAAGCTTGGATTGGGCTTCATTGGTAGTTGGGCCAAGGGCAGGCCCAGTCCAGAACAGGAGCCCCCCCCAAGTCGTTGCTCCTGGTAAATGAGTTATGACTTGATTCAAGTTCGCCCTTTCGCGAGACTCGTTGCGCGACACGGGGTTTTCCTGCCGTGGATGGGAGACGTCGCATGGTTCGTGATTTGCTTCGTGCAGCGGTCGAAGAGTGTTCGAGGAGTACTCGCGGGGAGAGGATGATACACTAGTCAGACACGTGGTGTGGCTCTTGGAAACCATAATGGCGGCCTAGGGAGTAGGGGTCATCATTGTCTATGCGAGTAGGTGTCGAGGATAAAGGCAATTTGTGATTCCCCGACACGACGTTTCACATTCCACGTCATCTCTATAAATAGGGCTTCATGGCCCATAACTTGTTTTCACATTTTGACGCTCTCATATTTTTCTCTGCCATTAACCCGCGTGTTTTCCTAGTGTCATTGAGACCGCCGCACCGTCCGTCGTGTATTTACCTCCACAACTGTCGCTCCTCACTTTTCTTCCAAGTAAGTGTTCTTTTTTTTGCTATCTTGTGTTATAGATAGATTTTGATGGTGTTTAGTGGTAGAATTTCGTGTACGGGGATTATGCCCAGGAAATTCAAGCGCTTTAGGCGTCTGATTCATGATCATGCCCGCGGCGTTCATAGGTTTAGGCATACGGTTTATGATCGTACCCGTGATATTCATGTGTTGGTTAATAAATTTATGAACTTGGTCGGGGGATTCATCCTTTCGTTAGTATGTAGGCTATTTTTCCCCGTGGTATTCTTGTATCTGGCTAGCAATGTTATGAAGTTGGTGGTGAAATTCATCATTTGCTCGCGATATTCTTGTTGTGCCCGTGACATTTATGGTTGATATACGTTCGTCGTTAAGGTCGGTGTTTGGTCGAGGTCCACGTGTTCCCCGTCTTTCGTGCGAATGGCAGTTGACTCGGTCTGAGTGTTGCTTACTTCTCCCCGTCTGTGTGGCGAAAAAGCGGATTTGTTGTCGAATTCACCAGTTTCCTGTACTTTACAGGTAAATGGCCGATATTCCCGAGTCCTTAGAGCATATTGACACCAAGGAAACAAGCACTGCCGAGGAAAGCATGAATTTGCTCGACACCGTCGACGACCCTACTATAGACTGGGTTGGTGCGAAACCCCGAGGGATAGCTTCAATCTATAGTTATACCGGCAGGCAAGCTTACACTATCGTCGAGTACGGCGGCGGTCAGGAGGGATTTCAGAGAAATTTTAAGATCATGAGGCCGACAAGGGATGCCCGCATTTGCTTGGAGTTTACTCAGGATGCCTTCCCTATGTACGAGATCGTATTTAAAGATCTCGGGCTCCGGCTACCTTTCAACGACTTCCATATGGGAGTGTTCAATCACTTGAACCTGGCTCCCTCCCAGATTCATCCTAACGTGATTGCCTTTATCCGGGCATTCGAACTCACCTGACGCTTCCTGAGGATCGGGGCAACGATTCCCCTGTTCTTTAGGGTTTTTCACCTGCAACGGCAGTCCCAAGGAGGGAAGCACAGCTGGGTGTCCCTTAAGCAGTCGAAGAAGTTTAGGATGTATATCGATTATGTGCGAGATTTCAAGGATAACTGGTATATTTTGCAACCGTCTACTCAGACAGTCGTGGATTCGTTGTTCGACCCGGCTGCTGTGGTGGACGAGGATGGGGAGCCGTGTTTGGATTCTGAAGGCAATCCTGAGATTGGGAAAGTCTCAAAGTTTCCCATCCACTGGTGTTCGGGCCATTACGACCATGGACCTGGATACTACCACACTCCCGCTAGCGGTATGAGCGTTAAGGACGAGGAGGCTTATGGCATTCTAAACAAATTTGTCGATGGTTTCTTCCCTGCTCAATGGGTTACGAGGGAAGGGAACGACATTCTTGATGAGGATGGCGAGCCAACGTTCGAGGCACGTCCGATCAACACCAAGGGGCTCGTCGAATGCCAGTCTTACGGGCAGGTCGTAGAGCTTTAGGTTTCTTGCTTTACTTTATTGATAACCTTCTTTATTTGTTTTCTTCGATGTGGCTAACCCAAGTATATTTCCTTTGTAGGTCACATGGCAGAACGTCGCGAGAGGTTGCTGAAGCTGACCTAAGATAAGAAGATCAACAAAAGGTTGGTGAAGCCGCAACAAGCCACGCGAATGGGTCCGACCCCCGATTCGGGCAAAGAAGGATCTAGTGGGTCCTCGGGTTCCCATGACACCAAGCGCCAATCTGCTTTAATTAGCAAGAAATGGAGTCGACCAGAAGGTGGAGTCAAAGTGATCGATGGAGGGGCGGGTGCCCGGGCCTTCAGCCTGCCACCCTGTTTTATGGAAAAGGATTTCTTTGAGGGGTTTCCCTTGACCGTATCCGACAACGAGGCCGATATCGTCAAGTGACTCAACAAGGAAGGTCGGAGGAAACACCTCACCACCAGTATGATT